GGCTGCTTTTTATTTAAAGAAGGACAACTGTTTTCTAAAGACGACGCAGGTCCAGTCTCTTCTCTAAAAATCAAGTCTCAGATTGGAGAAGTGGTTGAATTCTTCTCAGCAGACTTCTTTTCCTCCCACTGGTTGTTTCTAAAGAAATATGTTTGATATAATTAAGGTTTTATGATTTTGTTTTGTTGCCTGATAATACAGAGTCCCCTCCCACGTTCGTGATGTCTTTTCTAAGCTTCAATCAATGTCAACACAACAGCCTGTATTTTCTGAGTTTTGCTGTATGAAATTGGCAGCTGCTTTGAAAACAATTGTCCTGTTTTAGAATTTTCAGCCAGATGGTTGTCTGAGAGATACCTCCCCTACTGGTTTTTCATTATGCTTTCATATTTTGGCCAGTATAGCCGTGCAGCAGATAATAAATTGCACTTTTTCTGCGGTAACAGAAGGTGTTAGAAAGTCTTAAAATTACCGTCTTGAACCCTGCAGAGACCAGATTGTTGGAGGTTGCAAATAACAATAACATGAGGTAAATAAACAGCCGCCAGTTAGAAATAGAAATAGAAAGTCTTTATTGTCATTATACAAGTGCAGTGAAATTTAAAGAGCTGCTCCCGAGGTGCACCAGCAATATACACTATTAGACATACAAGACATGTATTGTAATACTTTGTACAAGCCTATAAAATACGATTTAAAAACCAATTGCCATAGCAGAGTGGTAGTTGGGTATTACACACAGTGAAGTGGTTTTTATTGCATCTGTGTGAGGAACACTTTATATGTAGAAGTTACAATGCATTCACAGCTTTAAGTTTACAGTCGTGACTCGATAATCCGACCCTTAACAATCCTAAACCTGCTATCCGACAGGTTTTTATAGGAACCCATTTAAAAACAGCCTAAACATACCGACAGCCTTGGATTCATTTTATGTCACCAATCAGGATGACGGCGTATTATCTGACTGAACAATCCCACAGATTGGCTACGTTCACACTGCAGGACTTGATGCTCAATGAGGATTTCTTTGTGAAATCTGATTTTTTGTGACTTCCTTCACGTTTCCAGTTCAATGCGACTTGTATGTGATCTGCTGTGTGAACTTCATATGACCCAAAAGTGTCCCGCATGCGCAGAAGAGGACACGACGACGTCACACGCAGCGAGCGCGCTCAGTGTTTATGGAAGTAAACACGGATGGTGGAAACAGAACTGTGACTGTTAGCTAAACTGGCATCAGCAGCCAAGTACTGCCTGTGTGTTCCGGACACTTCCACCCTGTCAGAGCGCTGCCCCGGGGTGGAAGTGTCCCCCAACCGTGCCGAATACTCTGATATTCATCATTCATTGGATCTGAATATCCGGAGACCAGAAAGTGCTATTGGGACCAACCCTACTAGTTATTATAACAACTATAAACAATAAATATTAACAACTAATGAGCCTTCCAGCATCAAGCCCTCCTTGTATCTGGACCTCCGTCTTGACAATCCGACATAAAAGAAGGTTTTACATTTAGTGTCGGATTATCGAGCCACGACCGTACATCCAAAGCAACAATTATTACTTGATGTTCACGTCATTCACACTGAAGTCCAGGTGATTCTTTGTATTAAGATGCTCTTGCAGCCGTTCCTGTTGTGCAGCACATGTCGACCTTTGCTAAAGCAACATTACATGCACACAATCCCAGTTCATGCACTGTTTGCAGAAACGGAAGCAACAAGTCAACGGCTGTCAGGGGATCAAACGTTTTCTGTTTTTGCTCAGTTTCTACAGTGAGCAGACATGTTTTTTTGTTCTTATTGCTCTTTTTTCCTCTCCGAGTTTTACTTTCCTCAATCTCTTTGGCTCTGAATATTTCCGGCTGCCGCGGTGAAAGCAGAGACTCGATATATTTGACAGCGAGAGGAGGTGTTGATTGCAGGGCTCTCCGAGAAGATGGAGCTCCATTGATATTCCTTCACTGCATTTATTTTTATCCGCTCAGGCCACATTAGCCAAACGCCACCATCATAAAAGCCCAGCAGGTTTTCTCTGTTTCTCGTGAGAGCTGCTTTTAAATTCCGCTTTTTTTCCTGACGTTGATGAATGTTTTAAAAGTACCGGAGAAGGACACGTTTGAATCCGAGGCAGCAGAGTTTGCCGGTGACGTCTGTCTTTAACAAATACAGACTGCATTTCATTGATTATTTACCAGCTAGAGACTCACTTTCTGACAGCGGTTAGGAAGATGACAGTGTCAAATTTAGTGTAAAGGAAGCTTTTAGAGCCGAGATGCTGCTTGCTGTGGCTGATAACGACACAGTGAGAGAAGCGCTGTTGGATTTTTCTTACAGAAACTGTAATTTAATTTGCGATTTCTTTTTTTTTTTTTTAAGTCAAGCTTCAGTTCAATATTCACTGTGTTATGGATTTAAATTCAGTTTAAATTCGTATAGCATATATAAGACAACTAGAAATGTGAAATATTAAGACCACTAAAAGCAGCCAAACCATTTGAAAAGGCAGTCGTGAGCAAAAGTTTACGTACACTTGTTTAACAAAGTATTATGGGAGTCATTCAATTTCCAGTGACTCCTCGAACTCTGAATTTTCTCGGATGAAATCACTGAAACGCATTCGTATTTGTCACAAACAAAGCAATGATGCATTTTTGTTTTTTTTATAGTTTTATTGAAGGTCTTCTGGAAATATGACAAAACCTGTTGGGTCAAAAATACACATACAGCAGCTTGAATTATGGCTTTAGTGATGTGCAAAGTGGTACGACCTTTTAACGTCTTAACTCGTGACCCAGTGTTAGCATTTCTGTATGTAGCAGCAGATTTTTTTTTACAGAAGACCCTAATAAATCTATTAAAGAACAAAAATACATGATTGTTTTTTTGTGACGTGTGTGATTCAGAGTTATAGGAGTCGTTGGAAATTATAAACCATCACGATAGAGGACGGAGCTGCTGCTGTAAAAGCTCTTTAACCACTAGCCTCGATCATGGGACGGTTAGGAGCAGCTGTTCTGAGGATCCGATCGACCTTGAGGTCCAGTAGAGCCATAGAAGTTCAGAAATGTACCCAGGAGCCGACCCATGAGTGGCTTTATAAAGAAATAAAACTGTCTGTAATCTGTAAATCTGTGTTAATTTCTATTTAACTGGTAGCCAATCTAGTGGTGCAAGTGTAGTAATTCTTTCCATTTTTGTGATCCCAGTTAAAAGTCTTACGTTTTAGAGGGAGACAGATTGATGCGGTGGTGACAGTCGGGATGGATTTCAGTTTTGCGATGAGTGAATTGTGTCAGACCTGCTGCGTGACATGCATCTTAAATTGCATCTGAAATCAAATTGCAGTGATTCAAAGGCTGGAAATCCGAAAACGATGAGCTGAAAAATGCAAAAAAATACTCTCTGCACACTCGATAGAAACAGATAATTCTCTGTGGGTTTTATTACTGCAAGCCTCACTCGTCTGCAAACGTTATTTTATCATTCCTCTGCGTCCTCTGCAGGTCGCTCAGAAGATGGGCTTCCCGGCGGCTCTGGTGAACGAGGCGGCGGAGAACATGATCAAACTGTACAATCTGTTCATCAAGTACGACGCCTCCATGGTGGAGATCAACCCCATGGTGGAGGACTCCTCCGGCATCGGTACGCACACTCTCAACACGCGTCTGTGCTGGTAGTTTGGTGGGTGAAATAGGGCGTTTCATATCGCAGCATCTCCTGAAATCTGCTCTTAAAACCCAATGTGTTTATAGACGTGTTGCTCTAAAAGATGGAGTGAAAAGCCGGGATAAAAACTGGGATAACGGTGCACATTTACAGTCTCTTCAGGCTTCAGCGACAAAATAATATTTAAAATCTGCCACTGACGCAGCACAACTGTTGCATTTCAGCTCACTGCTGTTCCCCCGTAAATGTTGCGTCACCCTCATGCAGCAAAAACCGTCACCTACAACAAAGCGTCAGCGCTGTGTGCTTCATGTCAGAACACAGAGAGCTCATTATGGTGTTTTAATGAATGCCAGGGGGAATGCCTGTTGCTGCGCTTTAACAGGGTGATGGCACAGATCAAGTTTGACCCAAACCGAGCAAACAAATCTATCTTCAATTAGTCGTCAGTTTTTTGTTGTTGTGGAAATTCTGGAAGAGATTGATGTAGGACGAGGAACCCAACTCAGATTCAATTCAATTCAATTCAATTTTATTTGTATAGCGCATATTTACAACAACAAGTCATCTCATAGCGCTTCACAAAGGCAGAGACGGAAACACCCAACAATCCAAAACATCTGGATTCCCTATAAGCTTCAGCAGTCCGAAGCAGTCTGCAACAGTGGGAAGGAACCGAAAACCCCCGCAGGGGAAAAAAAACCTCCGACAGAACCAGGCTCAGGGAGGGACGGCCATCTGCCTCGACCGGTTGGGTGAGAGTGGGATGAATTATACAATTTAGTTTACAGTTAAACAATCAAACAAGATGACTTCAGTTGAAATAAGGTAGAATTGACAGAGAAGCAGTTCATGTAATTCCAGCATCAATTCTAAGGATTTCTCTCACACCTTCAGTCTTATATCGTCCTTCGGTGGGAGTCACATCCAGATATATGGGTGAAAGGAAACAAAGATAGTTTGGTGCCTTGGTGCAATCTGGCCTTGAGAGGTGCAGGGAGTGCTTGCCTGTCCTCCTTCAAAAGATCTACACGAGGTCAAGAATCTGTAGAAGATTTACACATCTGCTACAAATTCTACTTCTACATAAAGGGTTCAACCAGAGGAGCTAAGGGGAGAAGTTCCATACCATCTCCAGAAACGTGAAAGTAATGTTTCCTTCACGTTTTTCATGATTATTCTTGGCGATAGCTATCGAAGACAGCCGCCGAGCTGCACGCACAGAGACCAGCACCAGCCCTTTACTCGACACCTCGCTGAGTGAAATCAGTAATTTGGCGTGTTTGCACGAATCCAAACGTATGTCCACGTGCCGGCGAAGCCTTCGGTAAAGGTCAGGGAGTCAGGAGTTAATGACTTTGTCTAATGCACAGCGATGAGCTCCTCCGGCGGGAATCGCAGCTCTGCAACGCACTCGCAAGAAGAAGAGGCCACTGACCTTTGTGTTAACGGACACCAAGTGCAGTTAATGACCATCACACTCAGGACAGCAGCGCTCGCATTAGCCTGACGGGAAGTTTGCTCCTTATGCACGATTATCATCACATCCTGTCAAGAAAACGGTCATTAATGGTGATTACTACAATAAGGAACAGATGGTTCTCTTCTCCTTCTGATTCATAGATTGTAAAATGTGAGAAGCTTCATAGCCACACTGAGACGTCCGTAATATAATCCTCCCATATTACAAATTACACTCGTCCACATGGTCCCTTATAGATATCTCAAGATTCAAGAGGTTTTTTTTTTTGCTCATATCGTCTGTGCAGAGAATCATAAATATTCATGAGGTAGATGTGTTCATGCCAAGGTGCAGCGTATTTAAATTATCATTACAATAACGTTGAAATAGTCAAAATAAACCTGCAGATATCGTAAAGTTAAATTCTGCGCTGTAGAAATGTAATTACAGAGGTCTTAAATTTGAGTTTTTATCCGTAACCGGATATGACGTCTGCTTTACTGCCAGTTCAGAGCTGCCTCACACCAAAGTTAACCACTAACCTCTAGTAAATGGAGTTCTCATTCCCCACAACCCCCCCTTTTTTTTCTTAAAATCACCGTTTTCTAACAATATCATCCACCAATATTGGACCAATATCCAGTTTGAAGACTTTAGAGATGCCTGTTATTACAGATATGTGAAATAAAGCTTAATAGCAGAAAGCCAAACTCTGCTATTAAATGCTAAAACAGCTTTTTTGTTAATTTGCAAAGTATTTATCTTTTTAAATGCTATTTAAATGTCTTTTTTTGGCACAGCTGCAGTGAAAACTGATGGTAAAAAATCAAATTGTGAGCTCGACTTGTATCTTTGATTATTACATTATACATTTACATTTTTTAATATTCTATCAATTCAGTAAAAACAGTCACAATTAAAGCTTAAAGGCATAAAAATAATAACACCAACAATGATACCAGAGCCTGTTATTATAATTACACTTAAACACTCCAAGAAACACAAAATTACACAAAATAAATTAATTTTATATTCATATGTTTATTGTTTTTCTTTATTATATTTGTCATATTTTTCTTTCCATCCTCTATTTTCAACTTATTTATGAAATTTGTCTGTAAATGTGGGTGCAAAGAGGAAGAAGTACAGGTTTCTTCTTCATCCCTCCTGGCTTTAAAATATTCAAATGTGACGAAATCGGCCGCGAACACGAACAACTGCAGGTAATTGTAATAATAGTCTTGCGTTTCCTTCACAGCAGGTCAGAGACGAAGGTTTGACAATAGAAGGCTGGAAGCTCGGCGAATCCGGATGAGAAAAGTAAAGAAGAATATTACATGAATGATCATCTTTTCTTCTCCAGTTATTGTAGAGGTGCCCTTGAGCAAAGCTTTTGTTGCTACAGAGCTACTAAAAAAAAAAAAAGCTGATGCACAGATAACGGAGCAAAGAATTAAAGCTGAGCGGTGAAGAGAAGGTCGTCAAACTGTAGCTGGAGGTGGAGAATGGAATTAAAACTACTTCTCAGAGTGTCATCAGGGTGTGCAGGAACAGGGCTACTGTCCTGGTCGGAGTTTTTACTGTATTTACATAACATTTGTGCAGTTTGTTTGCAGCCCAGACGTCCTTTTGTTGGAGTTTTTTTTTCTCTTCTGCTGTCATTTGATGGCTTTCTTGTTCAAAGATGTTTTTGTTTAATCCTGAGCGGTGACTTTATCCTGGATTTTGTTCCCGATGCAATGTGACAAAAGAACAATCGACTTTATCGTCACTTTAGCAATCTCTCTCTCCGCAAATATGGAAATGGCCGGGCCACTTTCCTTTCATGCGCTGCCCCCGGCGCTCATTTCATCCTCGCCAGCTCCTTTTGTGTGAATGGTAATTTTAGAGGCGCAAAATATTTTATTTAAGTCTGCTCGCGACCTTGGCTTCACTCCGACTCTCTCGCATATGAATCCATTCATCCTCGCGTATCCCCAGGCTCGAGTCCTCCTCCCATTTCTGTTAAAAGGCAGCCGAGTAGTTAAATATTCCAATGTATGATCGTGATATTAGTTATCCTCCTATCCTCCATTTGTTTAATTTCTTTACCGACCTAATCTCTGCCTTGGAGATAGTTGAATAAATCTTTATTTCTAAGGTCATTTAGAATGTGTTTAAGAGAAGCAATAAGTGTCCCAGTGTTTTCTGTTCTGTGCTAAATATGTCTTTTTTTTAAAAATATTAAAACGCCTCCAGAGGAATATTTTGACGACTTGTTCTGCTGCAATTCGAGGATGAATTTGTCCAAACAAATGTGGTCTCTGGTTTTTATAATTAGAGCAGTGTCATAATACACGAAGTGTTTGGATTTCATCTGGTAAAACTAAAAATGCGGTTGGGATCTGGGTTGTTCTCTAAACTGGAGTGTTTATGAAAAGTCAGTTTAGAGTTTGACTATTAGATCAACAACGTCTTTTCGACTAGTCAGAGTTTTCATTCCAGACGTCTGCAGCGTCATTCTGACACAGCGGTTAGAGGAATCTGTAATTCACCTTCGACTAGTCGCAGTAACACTTGCAGTTACCTCAAATGTTATTGAATTTTTGTTGTGCCGAGTGAAGCGTTTCAAGATGTTAGCAAAAGTAACGGCTGCTGCTGTGGAGGATAAGATCGTTTAGAGATTTACTAAAACTTCAGCCTGACGTGGTGGTAAAACGACTCGTCATATACGGTGACGGTTGCAGTTTGTTTGAAAAGCGAAACCCTCTTCAAGTTTTGACGTAATGACACATAATGGCAACGCTCTGATTTATGACCATGTTTATTAGGTAGCATTGTAGTTCTAGATGTCATTCTGGCTAGAGCAAAGTTCAATTATAATTAAAAATAAAAAGCAAACTGTAGATGTCTTGAACTAGACTTGTGACTAGTCAGAGATAAACTGTGGAAATCTGGAATCCATCCATCCATCCATCCATCCATCCATCCATCCATCCATCCATCCCAGCTGACTCAGGGTGAAGGCAGGGGACACACTTAGATTCACGCATTCACACCTACGGACAATTTAGAATCACCAATTAACCTCAGCATGTTTCTGGACTGTGGGAGGAAGCCGGAGAACCCGGAGACAAATCTGGAATTCATACTCGTCATAATTCATTCTGTAATGAGAAACCACATAATCATGAATGGTAGCGAAATATAACAGGGATGTTCTTTTTCACTACAAAGGATTGAATATAAAGAAATATCCGCAATCCAGTCCGGACCCTCTAAAGGATGCAACCCAGAATTTGCCTGTGGCTACGCTGCACAGCAGTAGTGCTCCTAATCGACAGTATTGTGCATGCATGTGAAGTGTAGGTATGATCTACTGCACATCTATGGAAGGGAGTCCTCCAAGCAGAGTAGGAAAGTGATATAATTATGCATATGTGCACATCTGCAGAGGAGTGTAATCAAGTATTAACAGCAAGTCCTCTGCAGCTTCTACTTCTTTCTCACCTCCATGTGGCATCGCTGAGCCACACAGATTGTTAAAATGATCCAATTCACACCTAACAGTTTGCAAAAACCCACATATTGTGTTACGTCACACAGGGGAACAGACGATTTTTTAACTCTGCGTTGTTTGCCACCTATTTCAACATCCTTAAAGCGAGTGAAACCCTTCGCAGATGTGAAATCATCCCTGAAACGCCGCCTTCGTCCGTGACAGCGCGGATATCCAGAGAGTGAAATTGAAATCACCTGTCACATGAGCCAATCTTGCCCTCGCTGCTGTTAAAAAGAACGAAACGTTAATCTGTCACTGCTGCGGAAACCGTCCCCCCTGCAGATGGCGTAATCTCCTCCTAACGCCACAATCTCTTGTGTCCACAGTGATGTGCATGGACGCCAAGATCAACTTTGACTCCAACGCAGAGTACCGCCAGAAGAAGGTGTTCGAGATGCAGGACTGGACCCAGGAGGACCCCCGGGACCGGCAGGCCGCCAAGGCAGACCTCAACTACATCGGCCTGGACGGAACCATCGGCTGTCTGGGTCAGTGCTCGCTAAATGTCACAAAAGGCAACTCGGAAAGTCTAGACACGATGACTTGAATAATTTTGCTTTAAGACGCTTCAGACACAAAATGCTGCTTTTTTAGGGAAAAAAAAAAGGAGCACTTTTTTAGTTCCTGCAAATGAATCCAAACATTATGGATTTAGTCAACGAGAGTCAGTTTCTCCCATTTTTATGCAGGAAAATGGCTGTTAGGCTGTTTTTTCATCTAAAATCATTTGATTTCGCTGCAAAGATTTACCCTCAGAACCCCAGTCGGGAGTAGTTACTGGACATTATTCTGCTCCTGTCGCATTTTTCCTCACTGTAGGTTCATTTTTCACTGCAATATAAAGTCCTGCACCTCTATGGAAACTGCACAATTATGGCCAGAAGTAGAGAGAACTTAAATATGTCTTGTGTGCAGTAAATCATTTAAAAAATAAAAAAACTTAGAATAAATGTCTTTAGTTATCTGTTTCACAACAATTGGGAGAAAGAAGTGCCCACAGGTGTCATCAATACTGGAAAAAACTCAAGATATTCTATTATTTGCATTTATTTGTATAAGTTTCTGGATGTTTCTTTGCTCCTGTCTCTTTTTTTACTCACTGTGGGCTTATTTTTCGCTGCAGTATCACGTCCTGTACCTCTATGGAAACAGCACAACCAGAATAACTTTGTTGTACTGCACAGAAGCAGAGAAGATCTTAGCAGTTTAGCTAAAAAAAAAAAAAAGTAAGGTCCAAACCTAAAGTTGAATGCTGCTGATTATTTGAGCCCACAGGTGTTAAAAAAAAAAAAAAAGTAGGCTTCTCATGTCGTATGCATCACTGGGCCTATTTACAAATGTACAACTGCTACGATTTAGGGATTTCCCACACGACTAGAAAAATGTTTCACCGTGCTGCATGTTGTTTTCAAAAGTTTTTCCTCTCAGTCTCTCTCCTTTCTGACAACACTGCCTGCAGTTCAGTCGAAAAGCGTCTGAATATTTATCTCGGGACTGTTGGTCGAGTCATACATGGCGTCTTGGTTGTGCCAATAAACTGAATTTTTAGTTTTTCTTTTTACAGAATCCGATGCAATCTATTTATTTCAGGTGATTTAAAAAAAAAATAGACATGTGGGATAAGATGATTTGCGAAGGACCATCAGAAAGTTGAAAAATCAGAAGATTCTTTCTGTTTTTAGAAGTACTTGCTAAACAAAATCTGGCTATTTTGCTTAAAGATGACTTTAGCTTTTTCAAAAATACTGGCAGGTTTTGTTGAAGAGGGTTAGTCTATGAATTGTTTTATTCTTATCTTATCTTTTAGGTCATTTTTGACAGTTTTATTTTTACTTTTCATTGATAAAATTGTTAGTTGATGAAAACGGTGAGCTCAGGGCTAGTTACAAAACAGAATCAGCCTTGGGAGGATCAAAAAATACTTCAGATTGATTTTTTTGCTGCACTTTCACCTCTTAAGAGTCTCAAGAAAAGAAGCTCATATTGTCTCACATTGAAAGTTCTTGTCAAGCCCTCGAAACACTGATTAAAACTCCCAGGAGCTCCGTTAAGAAGCAACTTCACTTGTAGGTTTTTGAAGATGTTTCAGCTCAACAGGCTTCTTCTGTTTTAACAGACAGACTACAATTCCCACAATGCACCTCAGTTGCACGTCTGCTTCCTAACGTTCCGATTGTTAACAGAGATAAATGCAGATATGACGGATGTGATTACGTTGGGAAAATAAACGAGTTTGCTAAATGTGCCCCGTGATTAGTCTTAATTGCAGTCGGTGCGGAGAATAAACTCGCCTCCGTCATCCTCGTCTCTCCTCCTCGTTAGAGAGAGGGATAGTTTTCAACTTAATCGCTGCCTCAGCTCCAAACATAACCTCATTACAACCTGCTGAGCTGCCAAATACGACGCCCTCTGTGTTTACGCCGAAACTGTTGCGTTTGCTTTTTCCGGCAGCTGTGCTTCTAATCCTCCCTTCAGACGCCGCGAATGTTGTCTGACTTTTAGTTTCCTACCGAGCAAAGACGGAGCTCACGCTGTAGTCTCAACGCTGCTGCTCTCAAAACAAGCCAGACTCATCGTCGTCGATTTAAGAAGTCACAGTCGTAGCGTTCAGTGTGCCAATAACACTAGAGAGTTACTTTCTTTGTGGTCAGATAAAACCTTTTTTTTTTTTTTAAAGCCTCTGATTTAACTTTTATTGTCATTATTCCCATTAATGCCAAAATGAATAATAAAACAAATGCAAAGTAGGCGCTGCTGCCTGCTTTCAGCCTTTGTTCTTGTTTTGTTTTACGGCAGTTTTTTTGTTGTTGAAGTTGACGACTTCCTGAATCAGTGATGAATCTCTCTCATGCATGAATCATACATCAATAATAATTTCATGCACAATCCATGATGAGGAAGATACAGATAAATAGAAAAGCAAGGCGAGAATATCATACAGTCAGTGTTTTAGAAACAAACCCTCACAAATCGGGTTTTCAGGTAGTTTGCCGATATGATGCGTCAAAGAATAACAGGATTTCTATCGGAGTCAGAACCACAATGAGGCTGGTGTTTACATGTGTAAGTGCAGGTTTTATGAGTCAGTGCAGGTTAATCAATCATTGATTGATTTAAAAATAGGTTTGAGGACCCCTTAGACCTTTTATCATCTATGTAAGCAGCCATGTAATACATTCTAGTAGCATCCGGATGCGTCATCAGCTGCTGCTCGTTTGCATGAAGTTAGGTTATTTTATGCAAATCAGGATCGTGTGATGTGACCTGCTGCCTCTTTAGCTCCTGAAAAACTGTTGTCAATTTAAAATAAAGACAAATCTTAATGAGCCACCACGTTGGTCCGGTTTGATGTGAAGGAGCAGGCAGCCTTCGTTTGTCTAGTCAGGTGCAGCCAGGGTTTGTCATCTATCGTGATGCTGCATAATCGCAGTGATGCTGGGACGACTCGTCACGTCCAACAACATCCCTGTGGACACCCAGCGTAGTTCACTGGTAAACTATGGTGCCTGAGCTTCTGCAGTTTGAAGTTAATAAACCAAACTTTCTGGGTAAAGTAAGTGCAGTTTTTGGTGATGAATTCCAGCTCGAATGGCAGTCAGTGTTTTTAAAGTTCAGTATCTTGCACTGGGATTAGAGAAGAGTCTTTAACGAGGCTCTCTGAACTGACCAATGGGCTTCGTCCTCCTCAGTGAACGGAGCCGGTCTGGCCATGGCCACCATGGACATCATCAAGCTCCACGGCGGCACACCGGCCAACTTCCTGGACGTGGGAGGAGGAGCCACAGCCCATCAGGTGACCGAGGCCTTCAAGCTCATCACCTCCGACAGGAAGGTAAGGAAACACCTGCTGCTGCCGCCTTCTGCCGGCTGCTACAGGAAGTGAAACATTCAAAATAAAAGCGTCAGCCTGTCCCGTTATAAGTGCTGTAGACTGTTTTATTTTGTGTTCTTGTGCTGCTTTCAGTGGTTGTATCCAGAGCTGCAATCATGTAAGAAAGTTAATTTAGCTTGTACAACATTTTCCAAATGTCCACAGCTGTTATTAATACTGGAAATAAACTCCAGATGCTGTAGATATTTAACTCCTCTGTATGAACATGAGCTGAAAAGTGTCTGAAATTTTCTTGCGTGTCTGTCGGTCACAACTAATGGCTTCTTGGTTGCATAAACACAGAATGTTTTAGTTGTTTTGTGTAGTTTCTATACAAAGCACTTCAAAAAATAAAACCATGCAGGTGCGTTTAGTTTATTGTTTGTTCTAAATTTTCGGTTGCTCATGTTTGTTTGCTCAGGTCCAGGCCATCCTTGTCAACATCTTCGGAGGCATCATGAGGTGTGACGTCATCGCCCAGGGCATCATCATGGCTGTGAGAGACCTGGACCTCAAGATCCCCATCGTAGTGCGGTTACAAGGTACAGCAAACACACTCTGTGTATGTTGCTTGACTTGTTTATTTTTGCACACAATTCAAAGACATGGCACCAGAGTTAGCAAGCGGCTAATTTGCATCTGTTGTCCGACCGCAGAGCAATAAGTACGTAAAATAATGCAAAGCTTGAAAGTAAAAACAATAAATAAAATGTGATCATTGGTGGTGACAGTTTTGAGCTTCATAGCATTTTAATTTTCACTCAAAACCTTCTGATAATCTTTCCTTTCTCCTTCGATAAACGTTGGAAAAAACCTCACAGTTTCCCCTCCGCTGCCTTCATCATTCACTCTGTTGTAAACTAACATCAACTAGAAGCTCAGTTTCATTTAATAAACAACTGATTGTTCAGCATTTTATCTACTTGGTATGTCTTATTTCTCACATATTTCTCAGATTAGAATCTGATTATGAGGAAAAAAAATAAAACCCACCAAAGAAACCACCTGAAAAGATCTCCCTTCGACTCAAACACACACTTTTCAGCTCTGACGTTTTTATGTCCTGGATCGACTATCAGCGCCTTAATTCTGGTTTTAAAAAAAACCCCAAAAACCAGCTTCCCACCTCGAGTCAGACGGGTTAACGAGCGCTGAGGGAAACTCTCGTCTGTTTCGTTTGATGCTTCCTACTTCAAAGTCTGACTCCCAGAAACGAACGTGGAGAACGACGAGTCGCGGATTATTGTGCGAGATATGAATATGCACATGTATAGTTTATATTACCAAGGGAGGCCACGTGGTAAATAGAAAGGCTGCTGGTCATGTTTTGTTTGAATCCCTCGCTGGTGGAAGTTCCGGTTTTTATTTTCTCATCTTTATTCATTCGGCGGTGCGAGACAGTGAAATTGTGAATCGCCTCAGAAGGAGTGCACGCTCGTGTTTGGAGCCTAAACAGAGCTGACATTTCTGAGTTTTCCTCGGGGCGACGTTTTCCGCTGCTGTTTTCTATTTTGGAACCGACACGCCGTCACCTCAAACTGCTACGCTTGATGTTTGTGACACAATGTTTGAGATTTTAGCTGCAGAAGAGCTTTTTCTTTGTACTTTTTATTAAAATCTGAGCTGCAAATGTTCTTCATTGCATATTAAATGTGTAAATATATATATA